TCGCGAGAGCGCGGCCTCGCCAGCCCAGCATGCCCCGCGCCGCCGCCGCTGCCGCCGCCGCCGCCGCCGCGCCGCGGCTTGAGGGCGGGAGGCTGGGGGAGGGTAGCGGAGCCGGCGCCGCCGCCATGTTGGGTCTGAGGCGGCTGCTGTAGGCGCCGACGGAGCGAGCGGACTTGAGGAGCGGCGACAGCGACGTGGGATCTGCCTCTCTGCGAGCGGCCGGGAGCGGCGGCGGCGGCGGCGCCATGAGCGGGGGCACCCCTTACATCGGCAGCAAGATCAGCCTTATCTCCAAGGCGGAGATCCGCTACGAGGGCATCCTCTACACCATCGACACCGAGAACTCCACCGTAGCTCTCGCCAAAGGTACGCCGGGGCGGGCCTCGGGGTGGGGTGCTGCGCCCGGCTCTCGGCCCGCGGCCTCCTCGCTCCCTCCCTGCCCCCTCCGTCGTCCTCCCGGAGGCCGCTCCCTTCCCTCCCTCCGGGCCCCGGCGTCTCGGGCTGGGCCGCGGCCTCCCCGGGCTTCCCGGCTCCCACCCCGAAGGTCCGCGCCTTCAATCCGGGAACTACAGGACGGTGAGCGGGGCGGGCGGGGCGGCCCTGAAGTCCGAGAACGGGCCGGAGAACACGGAGAGACGTGTCTTCCAACTCCGAAATTCGGTGGTTCTGTCGTCTTACCGCAAAACAAAGCCTAAGTATTCAAAGAATTTTTCCGCCTAGCTTGAGTTTAGTGCTGATTTGTTGAATCTGAGGCACCTATTTTCTCACGTTCTTAATTTCAATTCGTTACGGAATTCATCAGGTGAACTGTAAGTAATGTGCAAAACTTTGGGTTTGCTCAGCGACGCAGACGGTCTCGAAGTGCCATCGGTACCATCCAGCAGAGCGCATCCCACTTGTCTCATACGTGGTGTTTACCTGTTAAACCGGAATCCTTCTCCAAGGCTGTTGTGCAACCACCTCTTTAAAGCTGCTTGCTGTTGTCGCATCGACCCTGTTTCTGGAAAGCCGGTGCGGAGTACCCTTAACCGGAGTGGTCATTGGGCGCTGACCGATCGTCGGGCAGCCTCCCTGGGCCGGCGGATTCTGGGTGTTGAGGATAGTGCCCTACCCGTAGTAGAGTATGTAATTAAAGGGTCGCACAGGCTGAGTGGGTTTTCTTTCCGTTCACACGTCCTGTGCCTTCGCTCCGCCAGAAAACCAGGAAGAAAATAAACTTTAGCTCATTCTCTAGAAAGAAATCTCGCAAGTTAAGAATACTTAGGAGAGGGTAGCAAGATAACCAAGATAGCTTTCCCAGCACATCTGGTGGAGTTACAGAATGAATATCGTGGTAGAGACAGAGGGCCAAGGGCTAGGAAGAAATTATCTAAATCTGTAAAAAGAAAAGAAAAGAAAATTAACGTATAACTTACAGGAGAGTCGTTTCACAATATCAAGCAAACGTTTTAGTGACATTTTTTGTGCCCTTTTTAATAACACTTGGGTTGGAACAAATTTTATTACCTGAGTAAGAGGTCTTAAATTTTTTTATCTTAGGTTCCTTGCCACCCCGCTCTCCCCCCATGGATATTTAGCTGTATGTTGTCTTAGTTTTTATGGCTTTATGAAATTATAAAAAAGGCTTCCTAAAGTTCTCAATGAGAGCCACATACAGTACTTTTCATTAAGGGCGTTTAATAATTTTTTATTTAAGGTGTGTTGCCAGCCTAGTGACTTATTGTTGAATTGGCTGTGCCTTTATTCTTCACAGTGAAAAAAAATACGTACATATGTAGGATTTCAAAAAGTCTTTTAAAAATCTTTGAATATGTTCTTTTATGCAGGAAAACTAAAAAATCTTTATTTTGTTAATGACCAACATTTTAAAAAACTTTTATTTTCAACAGCTTCTAGAGTCCATAAACTAAAATTTTATTATTCTGTAATAATTCATATGCCAGTTTGTTCCTTGTATCAGTCATGACTTCATAAATAGTACAACAGTGAAAAGATTTTTTTAATCATTGAATTTATATCTGTACTTACGGCTTTGATAATCTCACGACACAAAATATATGCTTTTTCTTAAGCAGTAGGAGTTATTTAATGTGTGACAGGTTTGGGAAGTTAATTGTGTTTGTAAAAACTGAAGTTATCAAATTTTGGTAGCTTATTCTACTTAGCAGTATCTAATCTAGAACTACTATATAGCTGTCTAGTCAACCCTGGGCACTTAATTCAAATTTTAAAATTAGAAGTGGGGTGTTTGGTCTTCAAATTTTACAATTTACATGCCTTGTGAGTAATTTGATATCTGATATTCCACTTCCACCTTTTTGAAAATTTGGTTGAAGAATGGCAGTCTAACAGATAAAAGCCTAAAGTTTATTTATGGAGTTTAGAATACAGTATTTTTTGGATTTAGAGATCCTTTATCTTTGTAAACTATCAATTGAGTTAATCTCTGCAAGTGACATTCTTAGAATTCTCTTTTGGATGTTAATTTTTTCCCCTCTGGGAAGAGTTTTTTCCCCTTTTTTATTGTGAAATAACCACACATTTGAAAAGATGCATGCATAAAAATGAAATATTTATAAACAAACCTCCGTGTAACTACCACCCAGGGCAAGAAAGACATTGCAGAATCTCAGAAGCTTCCCACCCCCTGCATCTTCCCATTATCACTACTACACTCTTAAGCTAGATAGAAACATTATTCTCACATTTGTAGATTTATCACTTAAGTTTACATCCCTAAGTAATAGTGTTTATGTTTGTCCTTTTTTGAACTTTATATAAATGGAACCATCTTGTATATTTTTGATTTTGGCTTTTGTTGTGGCATAGTATTCCATCATGAGTATAACACAGCTTTATTCTGCATTTGTTTTTGATATTCTACAGTTAGTGTTTATTAAATTGTTTACAGTTTTTTGCTATTACGAACAATGCCTTTATAAATATTTGTGTTTAAGTACACTGATGGCCTGTGTACCTCTCTTGAGGGTATATACTTGAATTGGAGGATCATGGGGAAAGTTCGTCTTTATTAGGAAATGCCAAGCAGTTTCCAAAGTGGTTGTTTACTAGTTTTGATTTCAGTTACTAGTATATGAGAATTGTAGTTCCTCATCCTTTACTAACAGTAATACTTAGTATCAGATATTTTAATTCTCTCCAATCTGGTGGGTGTGATTGTACCTGGCTTTAATCTTCCTGATTGCTAATGAGGTGAACACTTTTTCATATCTTACTCATTTGGATTTCATCTTTCATGAAATGCCTTTGAAATCTTGTGCGCATTTTACTACTGAAATGCATGCTCTTTCTAGAGTTCAGCATTTTGAGTATTAATCCTTTGCTGGGAATATATGTTGTAAACATCTTTCTCCATTTAATGGTTTCTTTTGGTGAACAGAAGTTCATTTTAATGTAGACATGTTTATCACTTTTATTTATGGCTAGTGTTTTTCTTTTTTTTTTTTTTTTT